ATCTAGGAAAAAAAGAAACTGTTGACTTTGAATGTGTTTCAGGCTCACAGTCTAACCTGCCTGAAAGAAACCATCTATGCTAACGTGTTTGTGGAATGGAAATGCTTCCCAAGTAAAGAAGATGCAGAATGCTACTCTCTCCGAAACAGTCATATAAAAAACAGCAACCACACGGTGAGAACAACCATTTTCTTGCAAACAGAAGCTCATACAGTTGAAATGAATGGCTTTGTAATTTATTGTTATTATTGTTATTGTCAAGTCAGAAGAAAAGCATTTGCACTCTTCCATAATCTATGCATACCATAATATTGAGTATTGTCAGATTTTAAAAAATGACATCGTCATGCCAATAAAACAATAGTAATAAAAAAGACATTATTCTAAATAATAAAGTAAAATGTAATCAAAAACACTGGATTAAGTTCCAGAATGCCTTATAAGGCATTAATCATTTGCTACCTGCACCTAAATTAAACCAGAGTGTGGATGTTACACTGTCACCCATCCAGGTCTATGCCACCATGGTTATGTACAGTATGTTAAATTATGCAGATAGTCCATTTATTTCTGATATACTGTATACCACTTTAATGATGGAAGCAGTCTAGGCCAGGGGTTCAAGCTGGATACCAGAAGTGTAGGTATACAGTAGGTGTTGCTGAACCTACCTCAGTTAAAGTTTCCCAGGTGAAAATCAGCTGCTAAATCCATTCATCTTTATTAACTATGGCAGAGTTGAAAATATACAGTAACATCTGTAACACATTGCAAAAACTAATGTAATGCACAGATAAAACAGTTACACATTATATTACTGTGATACTAAGTTTGGTTTCTATAACAACGAGCAGATTTGAACAGTTTTTAAATCAAATTTACATTTTTTAGAGCAAATTTGTGGGTTTCCTGGTATTCCAAGGAATACTTAAGGAAACATCTCCCCCATTATGTTTCAATATTCAATATGTTTGAGGGACGGTGACCAGTATTTGTATCTTTGTTAACTTGGTTTAGTCTTAGTGGTGATGCTGAGGTGTGCAGCTACAGTACACCCAGGAGTTAAGTATACTTTCAGTAAATATTATGTATTAGTCATGTGCTCTTGTCTTTTCAGCATGGAATAAACCTATTACTTGTTCATTTACATTTTTGTCAATCATGCAGAAATCTCCAGTTCAAGAAGCAAGCAAAAACCTTTACATCATTTCTGAGAGCAGATGAACAGTCACTCTATAACTCTTGCTTTTCTCAATTTTGACTTTATTCATATCAAAGAGCATTTTGATATACTGAAGATGTTTGAGTAGGTAGCTAGTTTATGTCTGTATGTGTAGGCTGCAAAGGAAGAGGTAAAGGTCTATGTCCTGTACATGGAGTTGATTTTGGGAAGAGACTTGCAACCTGCCTTCTTGCCTGTTAAGGTATTATTGCACTAGGTGTTCCAGATTCTGCCAAATACTGTACATCTATCCATCCATTTTCTAACTGCTTTATCCAATACAGGGTCACAGGGGAGAGCCTGTCCTGGTGAGCAGTGAGCACAAGGCGGGATACACCCACAACAGGACACGTGTCCATCGCAGGGCACATATACTGTAGATACAAACACACACGTATTCACACATCAGATGCAATTTTCCCAGAAACCAATTAACTTGGACTGTGGGAGGAAACTGGATGATCTGGAGGAATACAGGGAGAAACACAAACTTCAAATAGCACCACATGCCTGGAATTGAACCCAACACCCCAGTGTTGCAAGGCCTAAAACTCTGCCATCCAGATTCTTTAAAACAAATTTCTGTTACAGCTTATAATGCTTGGATAGAAAAGTGAAATAGTGCCTTTGATCATGTACTGTAAATGCATGCATTACAGAAGTCTCACAAGCTTTCATTTTAATTTAATAACATTGTTTTATGTAATAACATGTTTATATGTGCTGTAAGTAATTGTGTACAAGCCTGCACAAAAATGAACAACTCCAAGGTTAAAACGAAACTATGGAGTTTTTTTCAATGACTGTGTCCAAAATCCCAGCCAAAAGAGGATAATGTTTTCTGCAAAACCAGCAAGATAAATTTACCTACAGATAATCCTAATATGTGCTGCCCAGTTAATATAATTTATTAAGCCATTAAAAGTGGAGCAGTGTTTTCTGCCAGAACACACTATTGTACAGTAACTGTGGTGTTTATGTGAATTATATACTGTACTAACTAACCCTTCTGATTCCTAAAACAGCTTGTGCTGAATAGTTCTGCACTTAATGAATGCATTCCGGATTGCAGAACATATATCAATGAACTCAATGTAAATGAGAAGTACTACATTGATGTGACAGCAGTCAAAAACAAAGACATTCTGGAAACAAGGTCTTTCAGTATTTGTAAGTAGATGTTCAAATTCTTTTAAAAAAACTTAGGTGGTATAGTTTGATTAAGGATTGAATGATAAGCACTCTGTATTAAGTATAGTTTGACAGAATCAAACAATTATTAATTACTAATTAAGCATTAGTTTTTAATTACATGTTGCAGTCAATATATTGAAACACAGTAAACAGAGGTAGAGATGAATGTATTAATTATTTTAAAATTAAAACCATAGTGTACATGTGCCCTGTTCAGAATACTTGTTACTTGCACATTATTTAAATTTTTTTTCATGATTCATCTGCATGAAAGTTTTTTTTTTCTTTTCTAGATACATTTGAAGAATCTATCATTAAAACAGAAACAACAACCACACGTGCTTTCTTCAGGTGGAATCCTCCAGACAGTGAAGTTCAAGTTTCTCTAATGCTCAATACTTTTACATGGCGTGTACCAAAAACTCAAAGCACTTATCAAGTTACTGACTTAAAACCTGGTACACCTCACAATTTTTCTGTGGAATTTAAGACGCAAATCCCAAACATGAATGTGGTAGTGACACAAACACTAAATATTCTTCTTGAAACAGGTAAAGAGTGTTGGTTTAATTTAATTTGATTATTTTATTTGCGTATAAAGTGCAACTTATAACAACATATTATGTTGTACTTGTGTGAATTATGAAAGAAAAATAACCACTTTAAAATGTAATTAAAAAAAGAATATGTAACTGATAGTGGCAGGGCAGTCACATCTTTTTTGCCCGGTTTGTCTTTGCAGCTTTATGCCCCCTAGGTTGGGTGCAGTTTGACAGAAGCTGCTATAAGACTTGGAAAAACGCAAGAAAATGGAGTGATGCTCAGAAGTCCTGTGAATTATCAATGGCAGGTGCTCACCTCGTTGATATTGAAACTGAAGAAGAGTTCCATTTCATATCATCATACCTCAGTACTCTGAATTATATGGTCATGCTTTGGACTGGTCTCAATGACAAACAGGTAAGCTGTAAGAAGCATATTTATATTTTAGCATATTTTATTCAGATAAATACAAAATTTATAATGTATGTACATTTAGATGATGCATTTTGATGGTATTCTGAAACATTGCATATCCAAGTTGAATTTTAATTATGTGGAGCTGCTATTAACAACATCAAAAATATTTGACTGTGCTCATGAAAAAACCCCAACATATATTACATATCACCAGCTCCACAACTGATCCATGAGGTTAGAGTATTAAACGTGTTATCTATGAAGAATTTATGGCTAGGCTCTTTGTTTGGTTATATTTACCTATTTCAAGCTATTCTCAATGCTTTTAATCTTTGTATCGAGAACATAATATACATACGGCCTCTTTATTAGTAACTTATTGATTAAAGGATCACAACCAGTTGTTTCTCGAAGGAAGCCAAAGCTTTAGCTTTAACAGTATGGCTTGGTAACTTGTTCTATATTCCCACTTTTCCCTTTGGGTAAAGAAGTGCCTTCTATTCTCAGTTTTAAATGCACTTCCATGTATGTCATTTCCACTTGTGGTTTCTGGTTTGTGTTTCACTGTTCATTTCCAAGTAGCCAACTTATTGACGTTACCTCTGTAGATTCTGTAGACTTCTAACAAGTCCCCTCCATGACTTCTCTGTTCAGGTCTGTAAAGGTTCAGTTCTGTCAGCCTGTCAGTGCAGGAATTCCTTTAAGTCCTAGAATGCATTTTTTTGCTCTTATCTGGACTGATTCCAGACCAGTAATATTTTTTTGGTACATGGTGACAAAAATGCACACCATATGCTAAATGAGGCCTAACTAGTACATTGTATGATCTACACTTTTAACTATATATCCTAACATTCTGTTTGTCTTTTTACTTTTAAGTCAACATATTGTACTGTAAAAGCCCAAGTAGACTTGGTAGACTTTTAAGTAAGTAGCTTAAAAGTAGAGTTACAAATGTAGTAGTAGTAGAAGAAGTAGTAGTAGGGGTATGTGAAGACAAATTCCTAATACAAGAAATTGTATATGGCCAATAAAGTGATCTTTTATGGAGAACTTTATCAAAAGCTTTTGGAAAATGTAAATACACCACAACATGCTTTGAATGTGTCCATTATAGCTGTAGCTTAAAGAACTCTTAATTCTGGCCAGGCAAGACCTACTGTACCCTTTCAAAACCTATATTTACTTTTTTTCTAGGATGTTATTTCCATACTGGTGACCCTCTGGTTTAGTTTCAATCATAATATATAATGTAATTGTTTCAATGATTCTACATGCAGTGGAAATGAGATGTATTGGTCTATAATTATCTAGGTCATTTTTGTCACCCTTATTTTGAATGGACACTACAGGAACTATTCTCCAGTCCATGTGTACTATCCCCATTTTGAGGACATGTTTGAAGAGATCTTCTTTATAACACCTCTCTTTTCCTTGAGTACAATTCTCCATAAGGCCCTGAAGATTTATTTAAGTCCATCTAGTACCGGATATACCTTTGCTTCTATGCAAATACTGTTTAATTAGTAACTTCTTTCTGCAGCCTAAGGTATGCTGTCTACGTTTTTCTTAGTGAGCACATGAGTGAAATACTCTTTTAGTACACCTGCCATTTAAATTAGGATTAAATGTACAAGAAACCATGTGGCAGAAAGAAACAATACATTATTGGTATAAATAATTGCGGTTAATTTTGATATTCAATTGACATACTCAAATGAATCTGCCTTTTCATGTTTAAATGCTGTATTTCTAAATGCAGTATATCTTGGTTTTTTTGCTTTGAATAACACTACAGATTTAGACCTTGTGCTGTTAGATTACTTTGAAAATTACTATTCAACCTGTGGCCCCTCAGATCAGATCTTTTGCTCTTACATTGATTCTAATTAATTAATTAATTAGGGAGCTAGTTGAATCAAAATAGTATAATAGAGCAGATTGGAAGGGTTGCAAGCTAAATAGCTCTGATTTAGGCTTCTCGTGACAATGGAAAATAATATGTTTTTGATGTTAGCCTAATTACCAAATGTCCTGAGCACATCTTATCGTAATAGGTCAAATATATGGAATTCTAACGAAGGGAGCTGAACTAATTAAGCTCAACTGCCACATCTCATAACTAATCCCGATGTCATTGCCTCAGTTCCCATTTATACCACACGTCATCCTCTCCTCTTCCTTGTTCATCTCTTCATCCATCCCATCTCCACCTTTGCAGCTACCCCTTGGTCACCTTTCCATCAAGCACCTTCTAGCCTCCCCATTCCATGCGGGTCAAGCTAAAGTTTTCACAATATTCAGTAAACAAATCTACTGTCACACAGTCTTTGGGTGCTGTCATTCCTCATGGATTATTTTTAAAGGTAAATTCCAGTTTTGCATTCATATTGCCTCTGTTTAAGAAACACTGATAACAACACTCTGTTTCTGTGTGACAGTAAAAGATATTCACAAATTCTTCTCTGTAAATGATATTGTGTGGGAGTATAGTCCATTTCATAACCATGGTTAATAACTTCATTTCAGTTGTTGCCAAGGGAACAAATTATTTCATGTAGGCCAGTTACTTTAACTTTTGATTCTGAAAAACAAAAACATTTGTATGTGATTTGTCTTTCCCTTTCTAGAAACACAACATATTGATTACAAGACTGGAATTACAATACATCACCATAATCAAATACTGTATACTGTAGTTTCAAAGAACACTTGCTGACTCAGTCCTGAAAACAAAACACTGACCTGCCTGAAAATTGTTAATGTTTAACTTGTCAACCACTTAGTGTTTGCAGAAGACCATTTTCCTGTGCCCTAAAAATTGATCATCATGCTGTGGGTTTTTAAATTGTGACTGGCAAATGACTTTAATTTTGATTAAATCAAAGGCTTAATCTTTTTATTTAAAATGTATTTGACTGTTTCTTGGAAGTAGACATATTAATCAGTAGATGATTGTAGATGATAATGTGATTAAAAAAGAAGAAAACCTCAAGGCTAAACTGCTAAACTACTTATGGTTTAAAATGGTGTCTCTTTTACTGAGGCTATTTGTCTAAAAAATTCACATTGCCCTTGGAATCCTAAGACGAAATTTTGGACATTTGTAAACCTAACTGTCACGTCACATGCAGTTACTTTGCTTTTACCATAAAAGTACACAATGCAATAAGAGTTTTATTTTTGGATGCCATTATTACTGACAGAAAGCTTTTATTTTTATTTATTGTGGGATAGTGGGTGGGTTGATTTTGTCAAGTACAGTATCCTTTTCTCACAGTGATTTGATTAGATACTTTTTGGCTCAGACAACACTGAGAGAGTCTTGTGAATCTCAAAGTATAATGTTGTTCCTTCTCCAAAGGGTTCCATGACAAAGTACTAAAGACATTACTGAAAGCTTCCTTTTTTCCTCTGATAGGTTATATTGCCTTTAGGGAGAATTGGGAATACTGTTTTTTTTCCTGGAAATGCTTACAAATGTTAAGAAATTGAGACACTGCTCCAAAGGTTAGAAAAAACAAACTCTAGTAAGAATAAGGTACCTGTGTGAAGCCTGGCTTGCATAGCTAAATCTGATATGTTAAAGAGTCTTTTCTATCCAGCCTTTTAATCTAAAGATAAGAAGAGCATGTATTAAGTTTTTGAAAGAGATTGTGGTGAGGTTTCCCTCTTTTTGTCATTTTAAGAGGTAGCACCTGTATTGTACAGCACTGTTTCCATTCCCTGGGGTGAATCTAAAGTTTCATTATTTGGTTATACAGCTGCTAGTTGTGAATTAACAAACCATCAATTTACTTTTGCTAAACATTTAAGTTTTAAATAATAGTTTGGCTTATATGCATATAAAGTTCTGATATTTTGACAAGTGCTGTTAGTTATTTCCCACATCAGGGAGGCAAATTGAATGGTTAACAACCCATTAACATGAGTAGCAAAGGAAAACTTAATTTTTAATTCAATAGTTCTTACAACTAATACTTGATCCATGTCTATGTACATGACGTGCATTGAGCTACTAATATACTGTACAGTTTGTTGGTATACATATATCGGTTGTATTGTCTTGTAATTGAGTATATTTTTCACACTGTTGTGCCGTGTTGTACTGTACAGTATATCAATAATTAAATGTTTGTGCTATAGCGCTTTGAAAAATTGGAATTGAAAAGTACTCACCATTTGTATTTGTGATTAGTCATCTAAGCTTCAACTATCAGTTTATTGAACACTATACCCATAAGCAGTTTCTGTCAGAATTCATAGACTGTGGGAAAACCTGGAGGTAATTGTAAGTATTTGGAAATACTGGTCCATAGGTTTGAAAGATAAAATAACATTAGAAATCTTTTTACTACACAATGCATAGATTCTCCAATACTACAGTGAATTTTTTTCATGAAAATTTAAATGAAAATGAAAATTTATTGAATTCCATTAACAATTGTTCCATATTCTGCTACTGTCAAGCAAACTTGCTTGAAGTTTTTAAGGTCTGAGGCCCTCCAGTGTTGAAGTGCAATTTGGAATAAATATTAATTTTATTGGCAACATTTGTGAGAGTGTTTTCATGAATGTGAAGTAGAAATCATCAAGCAGCTTTACTTTTTTACTTTTACATGTTTTCATGTCAACATATATACATATATAACATCAACCTATACCTCTACAGTCGTGGGGTAATAGATGTATTGCTTATTTGGGAAATCTGTAGTTCCTCAAAATTTGTACGGTTAAAATATGTAGTTAGGAGTTAAAGTAAGTTAATGAAGTATTGTTACTATTATATTTTTATGATTGCTGCTGAATACATTCTTCTTGATAGTGGTGTTGGTGTTGTATGGATCTGTTTATTGAACTTACTGAGTTCCACTTACAGCAGTTTTACAATTAGCTTTATACAGTATCTTATACATATCTAATATCTGGAGTTTGAAAATTCCAGTAATTAAGACACTGATATGAATGCTTATGGTGGAAAATACACTGACACTATTACTACTTATTGTACCTTGTCAAGTTATACTGTATTAGCTTGGTGAGCATATTTTTACCAAAACATAATAACTTTGGACTATGAGATCATTTTCTGAAGGAATGAGGATTACAGTATGTCAACCCAGTTCCAGAAAAATATTAGGTTTTGGAATTAATCCAAACATTGGTTTCAAGTTCAAACTCTCTGTTGTTTGCAACCAGGAAAAAAATATTACGCACAAGTATAAATTAATTCCATGCTATTTTAGTACAGATTCCACCATTTACTAGAAATAACACATTTTAGCCTTGTGTTTCTTCATTTTACATTTTAAAGTGGAATTAATTTAATTTGAACCTTTGCAGGCAACCTATAATAAGATAGCTCCCAGCTCGCCTGAATATCTTTTTTAGTCAATTTTATTGTCACCTCAAACTTCTCACTTTTGTTTTTTATTCTGAGAGTACACGTTTATGCTTTTGTGGCATAGAAGGTAGTGTAGCATGACTGTAGGCATTGTGATGATGACCCACATTTAGTTTTAAAAAGTTTTTCAGTTTTTAATTTGTTCTGCCATATTTTCTATAAATATTTAAACATTTATCAATAGAGAATATTTGTCATAGACCTTTGCGCTGTTCCTTGTGTAAGCCTTGTGAACTATATTAGTTTAGTCGGTTTTAAGTAAATTTAATATCCATGCATCCAACAGCCCGGATTCTATTTCAAGAAAAGTTCTATTTCAAGCAAAGGACAAGAGAATACTTAAAAAGTCACATGAGAGACGAGCATCCAATATTAGTGGTAAAAATAGAAGTGAATTAAGATGAGCATAAAAGATAA